TAATTAATCAGCCCATAAAATTTTAACCAAAACTTTTGAATCATTACATATAGTATAAGCATGCTTCACCTTTAGTTCTATCCAATCCATTTTTGTGCATCAATCCATGTTTTATTACACACTTCTTTTAGTTAAAAGCTGATAACTTTCCAATAATTTTCCTCTATAAAACAGTGATTTTGAAACTTTTAGAAGGTTCCATCTAATAACTGAGCAAATCAAATTTCAATCCATACCAATGATTGGTCATTGACATTAAAATTTCTTCAAATTTATTTTAACAATTCCAAGATTATTCCCAAGAGTTTTTAGACTTACCATTTGAGTTTTGTTCAGCAATGTATTTTAGCATTTATTATTATTATTGTAGTAGTAGTAGTAGTAGTAGTAGTAGTAGTAGTAGTAGTATAGTCTGAAAGATAAACTTTAAGATAATTTTTTTTTGAGTTAGTCAGTCTCAACAATGATTAAGACATATGACTGATAATTATAATAAAATTAGATTAGAAACTATTGCTCTTTTCACTGCCATAAAGTGAATTTTGATAATTATGCACTTATGATATCTCTAGCTTGACTATATAATGTTTCATTTTGCTTATATACAATAGCATTACTTTATGCCAATTTGCTAACAAAGTAAAGATGACATTGTTACCATTTTGCTTTATTTCTTTCTTTTAAACTCTACAGAGTAGAAATTAAGTTTATATTTTATTATTAAAGTAACATTCTTATACAATTTAAAACATAATATTTAATAACTTTCAAGTTAGATGACAGTAGTAAAACAAATATTTGTGTATTTTCTAAACAGTAAATCAACGAACAAAACAAATTTCAGTGTCCTATTGGATGTTCTGACCATTTTAATCCATTGATCTTCACCATATAAGAAAGCACATCTTTTGTTGAAGAAAGCATTAATTCTCTATAGCAAATAAGAATTGAGTGATTGACTCTTAGATCTGTCATTGGATTTTTATTGGACATTAAAATTATTTTTATTTAATTTTTTCAAAGATTATTTTAGCATTTATAATTTTGGTATTTTAAGTAAACTATATAAAGTAATATAATAATAAAAATTTTAGGAGTGTCTCAGTATCCCATTTTACTTATTTTATCTACAATTAATTGCTAACAAAAATAAAAAATACAACATTTTAATATTTGATATAAATATGCAGTGGATAAAAGGTACTATAAGTGTCATACTTTTAATGGCTATTTCAGAGGAATAGGCATATGATAATGTGGATTATGAAAAAGTTTTATTTCTGTTGTGTATATTCTGGAGAAAATTGTCAGAAGTTTTCCACAGAAAATTAAACTAACTAATGATTTGTATTAAAATGCCATAGAAGAATAATTCAAACAACAATAGTGTATAACTTATATATTTTTTGTATACTTGTCTAATTCTTAATTTATTTAATTTACTTCCAATATTTTTTTCTTTAAATAAAAACTATTCTGAAAACGTTTAGGTATTTGAGATTAATTTTAAGAGCAGAGATTCATTCTTAATCTGTAAATTCATAGCTTTCTTCAGCAATCTGTTTTCAGTGTAGTAAAAATGGCCAAACTTTTAAGCTATAGAACATGCTAAAGATATACAATTCCATTTCATTGTTTTGTACACAATTATGCCATAATTTATACCATGGAATTACATGGTATAAATTACGTAGCACACTAAATATGATGAACAATCACACTTAACTAAAATATGAACTATTAAAACAGTAACATTTCAAGATATTTAAACTGTAATAACCCATAGTTTTAAATAANTACATTAATTTTCATTAACTGTAGTCAATAGCCTTACTGTGAACAAGATATTATATTTTAATAATTTATATGTTTTCACACAAATTTTAATGTCAATACTTCATAATGAGCTGCTTATTAAGAAAGCAGCACAAAGATTACATATTTCCAAATAAGCTTGCTAAACTGCAGATATTTTTAGATTCTCTAATTATTAAATTAATTTAATGATCTTAATTATAAATCTATAGATTGTTACCCCATTATATTTAATTCATTTGTAACAAGCATTTCAGAACACAAATATTAAAAATATATCATATTGATACATCCAAATTCTTTCTAGCAACTAAATGCATAAGATAGGGTTAATGTTCTGATATCTTATTATAAATTAAATTCTTAATAATTAGTTTTTATCAAATGGTTATCCATATTAATGTCATTCAGATTTTTTTGAATTTCTTAAATTATCATATTATAATCTTATGCATTTAAATAAAAATATCCTTAAACATCTATTAACCTTTTACTTTTGACTGTTTATTTTAAATATTTCTTTTAACTCAGCATTTGAAGAAACGGAAATACAGTAGGCCCTCAATTTAATGTATTAATTGTGGGAAGTCCATTAAATTGAGTATATGTAAAAAAATAAGTTTGTTATTAACATATATTGTACAAAATGTATTAAAATGTTGTTATAATAATTTATTTATGCTTATACATTAAGTACTTTATATTGACTGAACAAAAGGTTGGATTGATGATTAGACATGTTAATATTCACAAGTAAAGAAACATTCTAGATTTTTCCTTTTGGACAAAAATCTTTTGTCTTTTAAAGCTTACTGTATATTATTTGAAGGCAACAGAAATCAAAATTTTTAAGATTTATTTTATAACATCCTTTATTATATTATCATGTAATTCTCCAAATTCATTAATTTATGATATTATCAGAATATGTTCTATTAGTTTACTATTAGAGCTAAATATAAATCCATACATTAACTTCTTCAAAATCACAACTAAACTAAAGTAGCCACTTAATTTCCTACAGTATAAATACAAAATTTAAGTAAGAAAAAATTTAAATTATTTCTGTGAAAAAGTGATAATGTAATTCAAGTGTTATCATAAATTTTTTTATACGTAAGATTAAAAACTAAAGTTTTTTAAATAGATTTCATATACTGTATAAGAAAAAATTGTTAATGTTATGGAAATTAAAGCATTAATAACTAAATAACTTATAACCAATTTTCTTTTTCTTAAATTAAATTTGATAATTATGGAATTTTGATTAGTTGTCCTGCATCCATTATAATTTATTCTATTCATTCTAGGAAAATAGTTCTCACACTTAATGTTTCTTTAATTGTAATTTTAGAGCTAAAGTCATTCAAACAGTAATTTAAAAAATTTATGAATCTATAATTTGAAAATTTCTCCAAAAGATGAAACAAATAGTTGAGAGATCCTAAAAAATATTTATTTCAGATTAAATTAAATGCTTTATATAAAGCATTCGTAAATGATTTAATTAAAACTTAAAAATAAGCTTTTATATGTATTAATTAATATAATAACTTGGCAATTATAATAAAAATAGTAATAATATTTATTCACTTTAATTAAATCAAAGTTTTGAATTTTATATAAACATTAAATTGTAATAATAAATCAACTTAAATTTTCCTATTAACTATTGTTTCCAAGTAAAATTGAATATTGTATTATAATACAATGTATAGACAATGCATTTTAATAAATTATAAATTTAACATATATTATATATATATATATATATGTTATCTACTTCACTGATTATATATGAGTGTCTACTATCATAAATACTATGCTAGCATTCAGTCTAGTCCGTAAAAAACTATTTCTTTTGTCATTGCTAGACAGCAACAGACTGCTGTGTGACCCCATACTGGTATTCAGTATCTGTGATTGACAATTCCTTTTTTTAGGAAGAAAACTTATTCTAAATGATGTGGAACCATCTGCAAAATTTTTGTAAAACAGAAAAACTTTTTTATAATTTTAATGTCAATTATATAATATAAATTAATATTTTACTGAAAATTTTTTAAACCAAATAAACAGTTCATTACTTATAAAAAAACAGCTTTAAAACATTTAATAATAGAATTATTTCGAAATCTTAAAAGACTAAAACCTCAAATAAACCTGTCAGAGTCAGGCTCAGTATCTCGTTTTACATCTACATTAAAATACAGTTTATCACCTACAAAAATTAGCATAATTTATACAATATATAATAATAAAAATCTATAAAATTACAATAAATAATTATAAAAATATGAACATATCAGGACATTTGTATTAGTTATAAATTAATAATTAAACCATCAGTTACAGAATAAACTTACACACCAATAAACATCAAGAACACACAACACAGAGATAACATTAACAAATCGCATTTAGGGTGCAACTATGCAGATGCAGCAAGAAGAGCAAAGATGCAATAAATATCAAACCCCGTGCGAGAACCAGAAATTCACTCACCCCAGCGAGTGAATTTCTCACTTGTGCACATTTTCCTTTGCGAGAACTATATTGTTCGCAACCTCTCTCTCGCTACTAAATTTGAATCTGAATAGTCGTACCCTTACTTTACATTAAATATAAAAGTGTATATTCTTTATAAACATAGATAAGCATCAATAATAAACAAATAATCAATACAGAAACAAATATGAAAAAAAAAAAATGTATCAAAAATGTAATATTTAATCTTAAAAATTTAAGCATTTAAAAAAAAAAAAAAACTAATTTACAACTTTAAAAATATTTTTTAAAGTTCTAAATTAATTGAATTATATTATAATAAGAAATAAAGAAAAAAATATTATGAATGAAGAATTGAATTTCCTCTATTTTAAATATGATTTAAAATGTAAATGATTTATAATTGAATTTATAATTGTGAAGATATTTGAATAAGTTCTTTTGGCAAGAGACTTGAGACAGTAGATGCTATTGTATTGTTTACATCAAAACAAAGCTGATTACAGTGTTAATGTTTACAAAGTTTATAGGGAAAAATCTACAATCAAGAAACGAAAAATTAACTCTAGAATTAAAAAAATGAGGTCGATTAGACAGAAAAATAATGAATAATTCCACACAAACATATCCAAGTCTGTTACTCAATATTGAATACTAATATATGTTAATTATCTCACCTCTTCGGGAGTAAGTTCACTCATTTCTAAAATATTCTGTAAAAGTATAGACTCAAAATGTTAAATATATTTTATATTTAAGTTATATGTCGCATCGTCAGTTGGAATCAAAAACATCGAAAGCTAGCGAATAGCCCAACTCCTCCATTATCACTAAACTAAATGAGACAGCATTAATGAAGTCTAGCACCGATTATCGACGGAAGAGGTCGCCACCGTGCACTTTATCAACATATATAAAAAGCAAAATAAAATAAATATTAAAAATTATTGCATTAAATAATTTTAGTTTTTAAAAAAAAAATAATTTTTGTTTAAATTAAATTAGTATAATTGTTTATATACGATTAATATTGTAAAAAAAAAATGAATTTGGCACGGTGTCAAACGCGCAGCTAAATTAACTACGAGATAGGATTGGTTTATTTTTAGTTACCTAACAATAAAAGTTGAACGATTTTCAAGATGTTGTTGACCGAAGTTATTGCGAATTAGAATATTTATTATATATTAAAACGATAGAGAAAATCGAAATGTAATTACGTCGATTGCATTATAATCAACGCCTGCGTGGTCGAACTTGCGTGGCGGATTTCATTTAACGTTAATTAATTTCGGGAGAATTTCTCCTTTATTAATCCCATTAATATTTAAATAATATGTGACGGATTGATTCTATTATAATTTAGAACAATGTGCAGATTTTTTTCTATTCGGTATATAAATGCGTTATGCAATTAATGCGTCATTCCATTGCAACAATCATTGCAGCTGGCGAAAATGTGATAATGATATTGAAATTTGATATTTTATCCATCTTATATTTTTTAATTAACATATTAAATAATAATAATAAAAACTCATTAAGGATGTATATCAAAAGAAAAATATTTTCAGAGTTGCGTTATGCACTTAATACTAAAACTACTGATAATCAGGAAATTATGTAAGTGCGATAGGGTCTGGACTAGTACAAATATGAGGGCTATCCTTACCAAATTCTTAAACTTAAGGCCTGATTTATATTAAGCCAAAAGAGCTACTGCTTAGAGCCTCGGACTTTTAATTATATTGCATTTGAATGAAAGTAGAAGGACCTCTTATATATTATAGGGCACGGCTACACAACAAGAATAACTCCAGTCTTGCATTAACATATATACAAATAACGTCAATAAAACAAATGAAAACAGATTTTTCACTATTTTGTACAACTTTCTTGTATAAGTAAGTCGGAGACCATGATCAAATGACTTTACTAGGCCCTCATTGTCTAGATCCCTGATAATATTTCATTTTTAAATTGTAAATATTTTAATTTAATCTAACTCCTGTTCTTAAGAAAGGATATAGACGAATGACAGCAGAAATTTACAGGTCTGCAANATTTCTTTATTTTTTAAATATTATTTTACGCTTTACATTTTAAAAAATATGAAAGTTTTCACGTGTTTTAATAAGAATTTGAGTGAAATTGAATTTAATTAATTTAGAAATAAAACTAGGTTTTGTTGTCTCGTTAATGTGTCAAAGAGTTTTTCTTTTGAAGCTTTTCACGTCGATTTAGGGAAATTTATAGACAGAAGAGATTATTTAGGAATTTTTAGCGAGTGATAATCAGACGTTTGAAGACTCCGTAATGAAAACTTCACTCACAACAGAATCGTTTTCTTTTTTATAATGTTTTAAACATTTTACAACTAGCTATGAAGACTGTCTAAAGAAAAATCAAAGACATTTTAATGTTTTTTACTGTGTTTTTGATGTCGGTTCTGGTAATTACCTGTGTTTTTTTTCTTTTTAAGCATTGTCCTTTTTATTTATTTTTTTAAAATATATATTGTTCGAATAAGGAAACATTTTTGCTAAAAAGTTCTCTCAATAATAAATATAAAGAATATTCACGAATTATTACGTTTTTGGCCAGTTTTTAAAAACAATTTTCTAGATCAAACATGAAAAATTGCTTGATTTAGAAAGGCAAACACTAAATACACACATTATATTTAAATAATAAAATAGATAGCTATAGAATTGTATCGTGAAAATTATATTACATTTTCAAAATATTGGAAAAATATTAAAAACTATATTGTGATAATATTTATCACAATTTTATTCACCTAAAAAATCATTAAAAAAAATAGCAATTGCATAAATAACAGGTTCCGCAAGTCTGTGGCGCAGATGGGAACCCGGTATAGAATCCAGAAATCTCTTTGCGGGATAACCCTGACTTCTTAGTTGCGTCACTGAAAGATAAATTAAAGCCAAAGGTATGGATATAATCTCTAATCTTAGATCTCACAAGAAATAATAGTGACGGCTGGATTCCGAGGCTATTAAAGCTCAGTCTACCGCTCTGGAAGACCCAGGATCAAATCCGACGAAAACAATCCCAAGGAATTTTTCACAAGCGGTATCCAAGATATGTCGTGTCACGTTTCTCATTACGCGGCCTCCTTCATTGTAAGCTTGGCAAGGAAGAAAGATTACAGTTAAACTATAAATAAATTAATGGACGACCAGGTGGACAAAAAGCCAGCCTCTCGGGGCCAAATGGCCGAGCGGTCAAGGTGGTAGCCGACCGCTGTGGGGACCCGGGTTCGAATCCAGACGGGTCGAAAAATCTTCAGGAATTTTTCAGGGGGTGCTCCTCTGGGTATGTCGGGCTCCTCCTTCACCACCCGGCCGCCCCATTGTGAGCTTGGCCGAACCCATAGTGGGTTTGCTAAAAGAGACCCTCTTAGTGCCCACAGGACGGAAAGAATTAAAAAAGGCCTAGGGAAACCAGGTTCGAATGTAAATCAGCTCAGTAATTTTCAGGGATTGATCCGGATATATCAGGCCCATACTCATTTAATCATCATTAACCGATCATCCTTACCATAAACTTGTCCGAAACCATCTTGAGTATAAGTATAGAGAAGATAAAGATGGAAGGTAGCATGACCGAGCGGTTAAGACGTCAGTCTACCGCTATGAAGATCTGTTGAACAGTATAAAGAACTTTTCATTGTCACTCAGTTCCGATATGTCGTGAACACAACATATCGTAACTGAGCGACCACTCGATATATCCAATTGCCGGCATGACCGAACTTATGATGGGTGTAAAAAAAAGGCTCTCTTAGTGCCCACAAAGTGGAAAGAGCAAAAAGTGGAAAAATAGTAGAGATAGCCAACTGTAGGCCAGAATTTCTTTTTTAAAAATGCCATAAAATCATATTTTCAATATAAGAAACTTAAATCTTTATGCTTTTATTTTTACAATATCAGTAAATAATTGATTGAAAGTAGAGAATGAAGAGAATTTTCTGAACGGAATAATTAAAAAATCTTGTTCGCCGATCTATCATATTATGAAATGATAGCAGAGAAGAGTCCGCAATGTAAATATTTTTAAATTTTAAAATAAAAACAATTGCGATTTTTAGATTCATGTGCAAATGAAATTTAAAACTAAAACATTTTTTTAATTAATATGTTAAATAATAATATATCAAATTGCGTGTTATATCTTAAATTTATTCAAATAAGACCAAACTATGCATTTGTTTTTTTTCTTTTCATTTTTAACTCTTTTCGCCCTTAGTGCCTCACCCTGTAGACTCTAAGAAGATCTTTTTAAATACCCATTGTGGATTCGGCCAGGCCCCAATGGAATAGCCGAGTGGTGAGGGACAGGGTCTGATATATCTGAGAAAATACCCACGAGAAATTCCCAGAGCTTTTCGACCCTGGATTCGATTACGGGTTTCCAGAGTGGTAGCTGTTTTATCCATCTCGAACATCGCCAGGCATGTTTTTAGCTTTATTTAGCTTTATACAAACTGATTATAGAGATCCTTACAGGATAAAATCCTGTAAAAATCTTCTGAAAATGTTATATGGTTCCAATTTATTTTTACAGACGATAAAGCTCAAACTCAATTTGTCAATGATTTCTTGAAACTTAGGATATTCAGAAAATAGTTTGACAGCTGGTTAGTAACTCAACTGAACATGTAGAGATGACGAACGTATGACAGGCCAAAGTGGCGCGTAGAAGTAAACAGTTCCGAGTCGGAACAGTTCCGCACCGAGGGTCGAGAGTTCCAGTCAGAACTACTAATGCGTTCTTCATTTTGTACTTTTATAAATACGGTTTTTCACGGAACAGTCTGGATTTGTACTTGAACAAAAAATGAAAATGTTCCACGAGATTTTAGAAATAATGAAATTAATTTTGAGTATTTAAAATTTTTAAAGATAATGTTAAAATTGATGTTTTTATTAAAGTTCGTAATTACTGTATTAATAACTAGCAAATACATGCGACATTGCCCGACCAAAAAATAAGAAGGCTAAAAATTAAAATGAAAACCATATTGAAAGTTTAGTTATTTGTTATTGAATAGTAATTTCAAATGAAAAAGCATTAGGCTCGATTCACACTAGAACTGCTGGACCCGGCTTCGACGGATCGAAATGATGGCGGTGCCGGCAATTCAGACTGACAATTGAACAATAAATATTTTTTCATTCTAAAGAAATGTCGAAGAAAATATATCATTTTATGTGAAGAAGCAGTGGCGGATTTTCCATTAGGCCCACTAGCCCGGGCCTAGGGAAGCAGAGGTTTGGAAGCGCAAAAAATCAAAACAATAACAATAAAATATGAAAATAATTCATTATGAATATAAAGGAATTGGTACAAATTAAAAGCTTAAGTGGAGGACAAAATAAGACAAATTGATTGATTAGTAATGGTGGTCTTATTCATTTACGGCTACGTGCCTCATGGGCGATTTGCCAAGGAGGTTACCTCCCGATAGGTCTTTTATGGAAACTGGTTCATATTTAGGTGAAGAAAACCAAGAAAACTCCCCGTGGCCAGCCTATTGGCAAAACGCGAACCCACGACCAACCACCAGTGTTCAGTGGTTTTATACACTCGGCCCTAATGGGCGATTAGTATTGATATATGAATATACAGGGTGTTTATAAATGAATGGTGCGGTTTTAAAAATTAATAATAAATCTATTTATTACCTTATATGGGCAAACCTTACAGCATAAGCAGAGGCAACTGTCCAAGTTTTTTATGCATCAATCATAATCCTTCAATATGTGCACCCATGGTCACACGACACACATCTACACGGTAATCAAATTCTTCCAATACGCTGTGTAGCATGTCCTCCGTGATGGTCTGCAG